TTGAATTACATTATTATTAATCAATTATGAGGCTAAGCGCACTCCCTCCCTTTAGTATAGATAATATTATTTGTTAAAAAAAAAATCATTTGACAATTAATATAATCACAATATTATCCGCGTACGAAAGACTTTTTTTATAAAAAAAAAATGATCATTTGACAATTAATTAAATCACATTATTATACGCGTGCGAGAAATTTTTTTTAATAACCGACACTTTGCATTTTTAATTAAAAATTGAGAAATAATATTTAGGGTTAATATTTGTTTACTATCCTGAAGTTCCATAGTTTTCAACATTTAGTACATGAAGTTTTTTTATTCTAGAGTCATACCTCAAGTCTTAATTTTAGGACAATTTCATACCTTCGTTAAATTTTCTGTTAGAATTTCTATTAATTTGTGACATGACGTTTACATGAATAATAATTGGAAACCACATATCAATATAAGCCCATTTCAATATTAAAAAATTCAAAAAAAAAAAAAAAAATGAAAAACCATCGTCTCCTCCCTCATCCTCCTGGACCCTCTCCCTCCCTTTCCCCCCATCTGCACCCTCCCTTCTGCCTCATTTTTTTTTCTTGAACTCGACGCCGCCGATTTGCAGTCGGGTGAAGAGGTGAAGCGCAAAGCCCTTTATCCAACCCAGGAGCTGGGTGGGACAAAACGATGGCATTTAACTAGTGGAGGACTCCAGATCTGAGAAGCAAGTCGAGGTCGGAAGCTGATTGGAGAGGGAAGACGAAACCATATCGAGGTCGCTCTGCATCAGGAGCTTCCCGCCGACGACTCGGCGTCTGTACATTGGTCAGCGACGGCAGTGAGGCGCTGGAGAGGAATTGAGGTAAGAGGGTGCGGAGGAGGGGGTTCTGGGCCCGTTGGGGGGAGTCGGAGATGTCAGCTTGGAGTGGAGGGCGGTCCAGCGGCCGACAAAGGAGCGAACGGTAAGGGAGGAGCAGAGGAGGAGGGACAGCGTGGAGTTGATGAGGTCGAGGAGGGTTTGGAGTGGGTTTGCGGTGGCGGGGCGCGATGCATTTGGGAAATAGGGGGCCAGATTAGAACCGGGTCGGGAGGGTGAGTGCATGGCGATGAGGGAGGGGACGATGGGTTTTTTCGTTTTTTTTTTTTTTGAATTTTTGAATTTTTTGAATTTTTTAATATTAAAATCGGTCTATACTGACATATGATGCCCAATTATTATCCACATACGTACTGTGTCATTAGTTAGCAGAAGTTTTGACGAAAAACTTAACGGATGTACGAAATTGTTCCAAAATTAAGACTCGAGGTATGAGGTTGGAATAAAAAAAATTTATGTAACAAATGTTGAAAATCACGAAACCTCAGAGTAGGAAATTAAGATTAACCCTAATATTTAATAAACAATTGCGTGCTAAATGCATTTTTTTAATCGTTACCCGTGATTTATACATTTTAAATGTTTTTGTACATTTGTTTATTTTTTTTCTTTCTTCCGTTTCATTTTTTATTCTTTTCTCTCTTCCTACTTGTATTTATATTATATTTTATGATAGCCAAATTACCCTTACTGCAGTCAATTTTGCTGTCGTATTTCTTGTGGCTGAGGGGCATTTTGGTCCAACCATGCGTGGCCCCAAATTTTGGCTGCATATGCACTGTTCATCCCAGCTAAGACAAAATTATTTAAAAATAAATTTACCAAATTACCCTTGGATTATTTTATGCATTTATATTTCATGCTTTGAAATTTTTTTGGTCGAGGTGTATTTTCGTCCAATTATTTTTTGTCATCCGCATTGACACTGTTTTACACTGTGCGCTTTTCCACTGGCTTTCTATACATATAAGATAAGATAAGTGCAGGTTTATTTCTAACCGGATGAGGTTTCTGTCAAGGGCATGGGTTGGAGAAAAAAATTAGAGAACTTTAAAGAAAATCTCATAGTACTGTTTATTTTAAAGAAAAATCATATTTTTACACTAAAAAGTCAATCATGATACTATTCACTTTATCCTTTATTTTGTCCTTATCGTTAAAACTCAAAGTTTTCAAACTCTTTTCATTAATTTTTCTAAAAAATTATTGATTGTTAGGCTTTTAATTCAACTCGTGTCTTTTAATGTTTGTTGGGCATATGACAAATGAATAGTTTTGTTCTTATGATTAAATTTTACATTTTTTTTTTGTTAAATAATAGTTTATGGTGATTTTTGGTTAAATTTAACTTAGTCCAATTTTTTTTTATTAAAGCTCCCAATTTAAAGAACTAATGTGAATGTTTACTATAATAGGGATGTGCTATCCACACACTCTTTTTTTTATTTCTCATACACTTCTTATTAATTTATGTCCTTTAATATTCTTCAATTCACTCGATCCGATGACTGAAAATTAAAAGAGTGAGTGAGAAGTAAAAACAGATGTGTAAATATCACACTCCAATTAATATTAGTCAAAATAACATTATGAAAACCTAGATATATATAAAATGGATGACTTTGTGTTACTAGCTCTAACTTTATCTAGTGTACAAATGACTGAAAACAAGAATATATCATTTCGTGATACTATTCTAGTATTTTTTTTAATTATCTATAGGCTATAGTAAGTTAGGATATGTCAACGTTGACTAGGGAAAATAAGGACCCTGTTTGCGGGCTGGCACCAAATTTTAGTTAGGACTTAGGAGTCATACAAACCTATTGAATTAATTGTATGCATGAAAACCCCAAAAGTGGTCTATCCTGGATTAAGAAGAATATGGCAACCAAATTAAGCGGAAAACCATACGTTACAGCTAGCTTAGCTGCAGCTAAACAACTAATCAACTAACTGAACTAGTTGCTAAACTCCCGAAACTACAATTATTTTCAAGTGTACTTCCTATTTAATTAGTATTGAGCGCTTGTCTTCGATGCTTTTTCTTTCTTTCGTTAGTTCTCTGTGTTTGCTTTTGCCTTGGACCAATTGCAAATGATGAAACCCTAGCTAGCTAATTAATCTCTTGAATTTAATTAGAGAACAGATTTCATAGTAATTAATAATGGATTCTCCGGTTCAAGAACATGGGAATGGTTGGCAAATCTAGAAACTATAAGGGTCTGTTTTAATAAAACGTTAACACACACCACTAGATTGTGGAAGGCTAAAAAATGCCTTGCTTTCAACTCTTCCTCTCTTCTTCATCCAACAATCTGTCATCATGTCCGTTTGTTACATTGTCAAGCTTCTCCTTCCTCCTTTCCACCAACCTCGTATCATTTCTCACATTATTGTAAGTTGTAATTCTCTCTTCTTCTCAATATATTATCTCTACACATGTATGTGTGTGTGTGTTTATCTCTCCTCGATTTATTTTTTTTTTTCTACTGATCTGCATTCACTCTAGATCCGTGGCAACCGCAAGATACCAATCTGCATCATTACGTATTCATGCATGCACCTTTCATAATGTTAGAGAGATTAAATTTGGAAACTAAATTTGCAAATTAAATGATATGTCACCAATAGGAATAAACACGTTTATCAACATTTAAGTAATCAACTAATCATCAACTTCCATGTCATTTAATTTTCAAAACTTTGTCTTCAAATCTAATCTTCCTAGCATTACCCTTTTTTTTTTTATGTGACATGCTGATGCAGGTAGTATTATTAGTGCTACCACGTACTTACGCTATCAAAAGAGTTAAATCCTTACGATAGAAAATTAGCATGTATATAATTTAATGAAAATGAATGAATATACTAAGCACTCATTAATCATATTGAAAGGGTGGTGTGATTTTGGGTCCATCTGTGTTTGAGGAAACGACGTTCTAATGCGACTGTGTATTTCCATTCAAATGCACGATGACCACATATATACTTTTATTTTATGGCGTGTCATGTAACATATTTTAAGAACTTAAATTTAGTATTTCTATCATTACAAAAAAATTGATTACGAAGAACCGCATCTGTTTAATTTAGTAAGTTTCACAACAAAGATAGGTTAGGACAGATCAACGTCTTCGTTGACTTGGTAAAATGAGGAATGTACCATGTGTACTTGCCTCTTTAATTAATTTGTATTAAGCTTTCATTAGCTGTCTTTTTGTTTGCTTTTCTCTTCGATCCCAACTAATAAGGAGCTGGCTACGATGAGAAGGAAATAATATTATGGTTATGGTTGGGGTATATGTCTATACCAGTTTCAAATGATGAAAACCTAGCTAGCCGTACGTAGGTAATGGCTGCTCGGGGTCAACGACGGGGCAATGGTTGGGTAGTACTGGAGGCGAATGTAGAAACTATAAGGGTGTGTTTTAATAAAACTTTGACACACACCACTGGCTTGTGGAAGGCTGAAAATGCCTTGCTTTCAACTCTTCCTCTCTTCTTCATCCAACAAGCTGTTATCATGTCCCTTTGTTACCTTCTCAAGCTGCTTCTTACACCTTTTCACATTCCTCGCGTTATTTCTCACATTATTGTAAGTTGTAATTCTCTCTTCTTTTTAATTATCTCTTAACGTGTGTGTGTATTTATATATGTCATATGCATATATATATATATATATATATTATGCGTGAGGCAACATACATATCCTGAAGAAAGTTGAGTTTTCACCATAAAATCAATTGACAATATTAGGAGTAGTTCAACGTCTTATAAGTATTTGCAAGGTTTCTCCTTTCACCAATATGTGGATTCTTTTACTTTCACATCTTCATATATCCTACATTAATGTGTCATGCATGCACGCACTTTTCATTATTTTCTTTTTCTACATGCTGGCAGTTTGTATTGTTGGTTCTAGTTGTACGTACACTATCAAGAGAAAGTCCTTAATTTAAATAGAAAATTATCATTTTATTTATAAATTTAATGTAAATGAATGAATACTAATTGAAGCACTCATTAATCATATTGAAAGGGTGGCGTGATATTGGGTCCATCTGTGTTTGGGGGCACGGCGTTCGCTCGCAACTACGTATTTCCATTCAAAAGCACGTTGACCATAGAGACAATGGCCAATCTGGGGTTGATTTACTACATGTTCGTCCTGGGTTTACAAGTGGATTTCAAGCCAATATTCCACGCTAGAAAAAAAGTTTTGAGCATTGCCGCTGCTGGTATTCTTTTTCCCCTACCTTTTGGCTATGCCTTGTGCAGAGTCCTAACACGACAGGAGGATGGCCTTACTACTGCTACTAAACTAAAGGCTCGTACGTACGGTCCTATATTCTGGGCATCATTCTTGCCTCCACCAACTTCGGGGAACTCGCCGGAGTACTTGCACACGTGAAGCTCCTTCACTCTGACGTTGGACGAACGGCCTTGTCTGTAAGTGTTATCAGCGATCTCATCTGTTGGATTCTTCTTGTGGGCACAGTGGCCTCAACAAGTGACGGTTATCAAGTTTATACGGTCTTATCCACCTCCGCATTAATAATATTTTTAGTTTTTGTGGTTCGTCCTACCTTGTCATGGATGTTTTCTAACACCAACAACGCTTCTAACGACAACAGTACTTCATTCTACGACATGGATCCCCAAATAAGCTTCATTCTAGCCGGGGTTTTATTTTTTGGGTACTTAAGTGATGCATGCGGGGCACACTCCATTCTCGGGGCTTTCACAATGGGAGCCATAGTGCCAAAGGGAGAGCTCAAAAACGCAATTATACAGAAGGTTGACGACTTTGTGTCAAACATTATGATGTCCCTCTTCTTTTTAGTGCTTGGGATGAGAACGCATGTCCAAGAAATCATCCTTGACAAAAAAGACATACTATTTGTCTTGCCAGTTATTGTTTTGGCTTCGCTTGCTAAACTTGTTGTAACCTTCGTCGCTGCTATCATTAACAAAATGCCAATGCGCGACAGTTTCGCCCTCGGACTTGTCATGAACACCAAAGGCGTACTCTCACTAATAATCCTCAATTCTGGCAGGGACTTAAAGGTATGAATATGCATTCGCGCTTATATATAACTGGTTATCCTCAATTCTGGCAGCCACTAATTTTAGATTTTTCCTCTTGAGCAGAACTCTTTTTCAACAGGTTTTGATTGTTTACATTAATGCAAGTGTATGGGATTTGATTAATTCCTCTTGTTCATAGAATTTTAACAAAACATTTTTCATATATATGTAGCAATTTGATTTTTGTGACTGGTTTATAGATTATAGGTATAGTGTTTGATTAACGTTGGTACATATATAATCCATTTAATAGGAGTCAAACTCATGAGATGTGTTACCCATGTAATACATTTAATAATTCAACTGACCCTTATTATTAGATTCAAATTTTCCAGTTCACTATTTGAATTTTTTACTTCAATTAACGAGAATCAAACTCAAAATTTCCGATCAATTGATGAAGACCTCAAAAAAGACTATACAAGTCTCTATTTTCTTATAAAAAAAACCGAGGATTTAGTTTAATATGTGAGAAATAAAAACGGCTATATCATAAACACTTGAGGTCCAACAACATTGATGATTGACGACAATTGTTGATTTGAATTCCTTTTGTGCATTATTTATCAAATTGTAATGTTTGTCCCAGTCAATCTTATATGGCTGCATATTTGAATTTTAGGTTTTGGACCACCACACATTTTCAGTCATGATGGCTGCAGTTTTTGTAATGACTGCTGCGGTTGGACCCATTTTGAACCTGATCTACAAGCGCAATGGGACATCTAAGCAGTACAAGCATAGAAGCATAAGAAGCATTCAACCAAACTCGGAGTTTCGAGTCCTTACTTGCATCCATTCGACAAGCAATGTTTCCGGCGTCATCAACCTCTTGGAGGCTTCAAATCCCACGAAGCAATCCCCAATTTCTGTATTTGCCGTCCACCTGGTGGAGCTAAGAAGTCATGCTTCGGCCATGCTCATAGTGCACGACACATGCAACTTGAATAGGACAACCAGTGCGAGCAGTACGACTAAAAATCAAAATCACGCAAATCATGCGCACTTTTCGACATCGTCTAACAACATTGTTGCTGCCTTTGAAAAATTTGAGAGTGAGAGTGAAGAAGGCAGCGTGTCTGTCGAGGCACTAACGACGGTGTCTTCTTACAGCACTATACACGAGGACATTTGCAACCTTGCCGAGGAAAAACAGGCAGACCTTATAATTGTTCCTTTTCATAAGCAATCCACCATTGACGGAGGAATGGACAGTGGAAACGCTAGTGTTAGAGACGTCAACAGGAACCTTTTAGAGAATGTACCCTGTTCTGTGGCTGTCTTTGTGGATCGTGGCCTTGGCGATTTATCTGAAACTAAAAATGGAATTAACGGTCAAGGGCACCGTCACCACCGCTGTTCCATGCTTTTTATTGGCGGCCCAGACGACCGCGAGGCATTGGCTTATGCGTGGAGGCTGGCTAGCAATCCTATTCCAAACCCTAATATCAGGTTAACTATTGTACGATTCATTGTCGGTAAGGATGCAACAGTTGGTTCCGATCTCCTTCTCAGTAACGATAAGAATAACGGTGACCATCACGAGGAAGAAGACAATAAGATTTTGCAGGACGTAAAGGGAAACGAGAAAGAGAAGCAATTGGATGACCAATGTATAGAGGGCTTTATGCTCAATGCTAAGAATCATCCTTACATAAAACTAATTACGGAGGTAGTGAACAATGGAGAGGAAACTCTCCAACTATTAAGCGACATGGCAAGTGACTATGATCTTTATATTGTGGGAAGAGGGCAAGGAGTTTCCTCACCACTCATCACTTTTGGGCTATCTGAGTGGGGTGACTGTCCAGAGCTAGGACCTTTGGGAGATACGTTGGTGTCGTCTAGATTTGTTGCCAATGCGTCGATTATCATTGTGCATCGAGGTGCTTCTCTTGTGGATGAATCCACTGATCAACATCTTACCCAGCAGTCTATGCATGCATGACACGGCATTTTCTAAAATATATAGTGCATCAAATTGCTTTATCTCGAGTCTTTGTAAACCCTAAAAGTCGTTGAGTTGGTGATATGAAGATGATGGTTTCGACTTTCGAGTGTGTGTATATATAGCATAAAGGAAGTTTTAATGCAAAGTACTTCAGACAATTAATAATAAGGAAAAAAATAATGGAACGTAACAAATTATTAAGTTGAATTTTGGGGACACAATGATAGTATAGTTATTAAGTTAAAGTTTCTTTATAATCAAAAATTTATGAAGAAATAGTTTTCGGTGCCACCAAACTTCAATGTATTTACAATACTGCCAATATTTCTTGTCCTTGTGATTAAAGAAAGTTTTTTTTTTTTTTTTTTAGCAATAATGTGGTTCAAATTCGCCTTTGACGACTTACAATACTAAGTGACATTAAAGAAAGTTTCTCACACCCCAAACCGGGGGACATGAAATACTATAACTTTTTATATCTATGGATGCATCCAACTTCTCCTCACTGTCTAAGAGTTTGAATCATACACACAACATCCCCTACTAAACATGTCTAACAAGAATGGTGATTTTATTCCAGCAAATCACCCTCTAATCTTACAAATACACAAGTGTAGTATAATCTTGAAATTTACTTGTGTGTTTGTTTTATGCCATGGCAAAACTCCCTCCTTCTGCGATTGTTCTCTGCAAAGTTTTTTTAATACAAATATCACAAAGAACATACGAAATTCAAATAGAAACCCTTTATTGCATAATAACACAAAATGGGAACAATTCGGGTTTCAGGAATTGAAAATTGAAAGGTCAAGAGGTGGGAGAGACCCGGTGTTTTTGTTGGGGGGCGGCGGGGGCGGGGCGCGGCGAAGAATTACCATTTAATAGATACGTTGAGAGTAGAGTTTAAGATCGGAGAACCTAGCCGTTGGCGTGTGGGGGTTCTTTCCGACTTGGGGGACCGGCTGATGGCTTCACCACAGCAATTCACTTTTTCAAGGGTCGAAAAGACTTATAAAAACATTTCAGCCTTTTGTTGGCCATCCCAGGAATCAAACACAAGACGTGTAATTCTCACTTCAAATGACATTGTGTTATTGGATCGGGATGTCACAGTGATGGTTGTAGCTGGTCCGTCTAAGTCCTTAAGTGTAGGTGGATCTATATGGAAGTTTAGCCTTTTTTATTAAACACAAATTTTATCCCAACTTTTTTAATTTATGATAATTGTAACTTAAGGACTAATGTTGGTAGTCTGACGAGGTCCAATTTTACCAATGTGTGATTTATTCCTAGTGTTTCTTTCGGTCTAGAAGACTAAGAGAAAAACGTCTGTAGACGTGTCTGCAAGGCCGTTGGATTAGGGAAGAGAGCTTAGACGAGTGTGGAAGGGAAAAGATAGAAAAGAAATGGGACTTCCATATCAACTTTTGGCTCAAATGATCATTCATATGTTGGTTACAATTTCTATACAAGAATAGTATTTTGGCTATTCTTACAAATTTTCCAGTGTACAATTGTCTACAGAATAATATCCTCAACTAGTATTATACACAAGGTCAAAGCTGATACAAACGTTTAATACAGTCTTTGCATTGGTCTCGTGGTTGTAAAATGATCATTTAGAAGGAACATCAAGCTGCTACTTCAACCATGAAGCCGCTATGTTGGCCAATACAATCAAATTACAAGCTATAAACTGGAGATGGATCTGTCTCGCTCTCTACATGGACTGAAACTAAAATCTCGTGCGGCGAGAGAATGAATGAATGAAGAAGTCGCTCCTAAAACTATGGCTATTGACAACTGCACAACACACTGCTCAAAATTTGAATAGAAAGCCGAAAAAATATTGGCAAAACATCTCTGCTTGATTTTGCATGCACAAGCTACTTTACAGTCATGCCAGGAGCATTTTTTACAATCCCAGCATACCTACGGTTTTCAAGCTGGAAAAAAGTGATGAATTGAGGTGACCATTTCACACTCAAGTCATGAGATGCAACCAAGAACTCAATGTCGGAAGTTTATTCCATTACTTGAAGTAGTCTTGCCGAAGAACTGTGAGGAAATTAGGGGTTGAGCCATCCTCATCCTTCTGCTTCCATTCCCCGTTGCTTTGTATGTACCATGATACTTTCGGAGATAATGGTGTGTACAAATCTGCAAGTTTCAAGAGAAATGTAAACATTTTTTTACAAAATGCAGACTACTGCATATGGAATTGAAGCCTGCAAAATTTCAATTTAAATGCAAAGAATTCATCCATGACTCATATTCTTGCATGATGGTGCAACACCGCACATTTTACTTTAAAGATGTGCATGAGAATCCTAACCATTTCACCATCACAATCAAAATCATTGCTGGTAAACCACTACACATTGGCCTTCCCATTTGAACTACTAGACCCTGCTGGATGTATACTACCATCTTATAAATAATAGTTAACAAACCGTATATATTAAGACCTGTATTATTGAGTCAATAACCCAATAAATATTTTTTGATAAGAAACAAAATTAACAAAAAGATAAAGAATGTGCACACAGGTGACAAGGAATACCATGAACATTTACCTACCTAAAGAAACAACGGAATAGAAGCCAACTAAAAGTATAAAACACCAAACGAACAAAACTAAATAACAACAGCATCCCAATTAGAGGAAATAGCATGGAAGGACCATTCCTTAAAATCTAAAGAAACTACCCCACAGGATGCCAATAACCCCATGGACTGGTAGTATAGTCCTGCAAACATAAGTCTCTCAACTCTGAAACACTGGGGAAAACAAATCCTGACCCTGAGTATGGATCTTATTGAGTACTAGTCCCATATTGGTTGGGATAAGCATTTAACAAAGCTATACCTAGCTATTTGGTCTCTCCACTTAACAGCTTAAGCATTTAGGTTGAACACTTCAATAGATCTTACACTATTTGGTTCCAGATTTCAACATTTAAACTCAGGACAGAAAATAAAGGGGAATACTTTCGGAGGTAAATGTCAACTAATAGGATAAGGCTCTGCATCATACGTTAAGCAATAGCAGTACTGCACTAAGCTTCCAAATTACAGGTCAGTGCCTATTTAACACTTAAGAATCTCCAAATAGACATGCAATCAGATACACAAGATACAAACCTGTAATTAAAGGTGGATCTGGCTCTCTTGTACTATGCAATATAGCAGTCCCAGATAACACAGTGATGAAACCGCAAAGTTCTGATGCTATGCTGCTCACACTTTGACCCGAATAATCCTACCAAAAGGGTATACGTTTTAGATTTATAACATAATGGTTACTCTCTCTCTCTCTCTCTCTCTCTCTCTCTCTCTTGCTCACACACAAACACAATTACAAAAACACACCATGTTGACATGATGATACCTTAAACATTATTGCACTGGCAAATATTGTGAAAGATGTGAACATAGCATAATAGATGGGAGAAACAATTGCTGTGTTGAAAGTATCCAACGCCTGCAACCACAAGAGAGTGAAAACCAGCTAAAAAGTTACACATTTATGACCAAAACAGATAAGATAAGCAAGTGGTTTATACAGGTGATGAATGCAGCACTTCATGCATTCACATGCTTACACAAAAAGAAAATATTAGATAAAATTCATGTATAGTTGGAGGGGGGGCAGATTTCATTTATTACCAATCTGATGCAGATAATTTCTGCTCAGACTACTTTCCTTTTATGAGAATGTGAAACAAAGATTTTATTGAATTCATATGTAAAAGTTCAATGCAGAGAACGAGATGTGCACTGTACACAGAGCAAAATTCTAGCAGTCTTCTGGTGAAATCACACAAGAATAACATAACCTCCCCCTCTTAAAAGAACTCTTCAATTTGTACAAAGGGATGTTCAAAAACAAAATTTATCCCACATCATCTCATCCTCTCCCCTTAACTATCAAATATCCTCCTAATTCTTTCCAATCAAACTACCCAAAACATATTCTGTAACTGACGTTGGTTAGCTAACAGTCTGTTAACAGGGGATGTTTGTGTTATAAAATTCAAGCATCAAGCAGTTGTACTTTGACTTATGAAGGTGCAAAGTTTATTCTAAATGCATTAAAAGGTAATAATTGCATTGGGTTAATCCTTATAGCCCAGGGTTTAGCTCACAAATTTTGGGCTCAACCCAAAACCCAAGTTCTAAACCCTAAGCCACAAGCTCTGCCTACCCCCACCCCACCCCCAGGTCCCCAACAACCCCCCACCTTATAGCCCACGGTTTACCTCACAAATTTTGGGCTCAACAACCCAACCACACCACACCACCCACCCCACTCCAAAAAAAGAAAAAAACAAAGCCTTATTCATTATAAAAGAAACACAGATACATATATATATATATATATATATATATATATATATATCGAGACATAATCATTAAAAAAACAAAAAAAAAAAAGAAACAGAAATGAAAAGGACACAAAGCTGCCATGATGCAATGTAATAGAGCATACCAAGACAAGACCATGTTTAGATAATTCAATTGAGTGATGATACAGGTAACTGGAACCATTCCAAAAATCCATGTTTGGAAGTATATTAGCTGGTTTGTGCCCTCTAATGTGAGTTTTATTAAATGATGATATAGGTAACTGCAACCATTCCAAAAATAGAAATGACAAGGACACAAAGCTGCCATGATGCAATATAATAGAGCATAACAAGATACGGACCATGTTTAAATAATTTAATTGAGTGATGATACAGGTAACTGCAACCATTCCAAAAATCCATGTTTGGAAGTATTTTAGCTGGTTTGTGCCATCCACTGTGAGTTTTATTGCAATCCCAATTGCTTTTACACTCATAACCTGCAATAGGGATAATTAATCAAATGGGCAAGCCAATGTTACTTTAAAAGTGAAGTAATGTAATTTTTTGTGCATGATGAAGAAATCAAAAGTTGATGAAATCGTTATATTTGAACTAAAATTTGGCAAGAATGGTAGAATAACTCACTGTTAATGATCCTATTATAGAGCAGATTCCTATATAAATCAGTATATTAGTTTGGCCATAGCGGGGAGCGCAGTACAACATCAGTACTAACATCACAGCTACCACTGAGGCTGTATACAAAAGAAATGCTGAAGGCAAGAAAGCGAACAATTAGAAGAGAAGAAGAAGGAGACTGAAATAAGCAGCCATTAGTTAGTAACCTTTTAGGAGCATACCAGGTTGTATTGCTAATTCCAGATTTCTTGGACCGAACTGAGAGATTGCTCTTCAGGTGAATGGAGTACAATCACAGTTGAACCCACTATACATAAAAGACACCCTAACATTCCCATTTTCTGGAGTTTCTCCTTTAACAAAAAATGTGCTAAAACAGCACTACACATATTCATCCATGGTTGAAATTGTCAGAAATATGGTTTGACGATTGAAATGTACAAAATCATAGGTACAATCAGATATGTAATAGATTGGGAAATACGGAATGTACCTAACAATAATACTCAATGCACCTAGTGGTGTTACAAGGACAGCAGGTGCGTAAACGTATGCTACAAAATTGGCTAGCTCTCCAATAACCACTGTCAATTGTCCAAAATTACGATGATCATCAACATGCAATATTCAACATCCAACCCCGTCTAGCAGCGGAGAAATGAATTGAATAAAAGAAAGGGTCAAAATTTC